CGCCGCTGCGGGGCCGTTTGCACGGAGTGGCTCGCTGTGGAGAGCAGAGCCACGCCCGGGCTCCCCTGCACCGGGGAGCTTTCCTGCTTCGTGAGGGTGCCTGTTCTCTGCCACGTCATAGATCCCTAAACCTGGAAAAATCTGAAACTGGGCAGCCCTGAAGAACGGGAAACTCAAGACAGTCCCTTTGCAGTCAGCTTTGCACAGATGTTCTCCCTGCGCTCCTCTTGCTCCCACCACATAGGAAAGCTTTCCAGGAACCAAGAGAGCCAGAGCTCATTTGGGTCTGTTCTTTCGGGGAGTATTCTCAGGCCCCACGGCCCGAGGGCTCGTCCCGGCAGCTCCGTGGCGGTTTCCCCTCACGGCCGCCTCTCCCCGCGGCTGCGCAGGAGGAAACGTGGCACCACCGCGCGCAGCTCCCCCGGAGGCCGCCCAGCCCGCGGCTCCTAGCGGGAACCTCAGGTCTCGTTCGTGTGAACCCGCAGCGGGAAGCGCCTCGCACGGAGCGCTCAGAGGTATTTCAGGGCAGCGCTGAGGCTAGGCAGGGATGCAGGACTCGCATAGCTCGGAGCCTGCGCGCGGCTTGACGGACGTGAGCAGCGTTACAGGGATTTTCTGGCTCGGCATGTGCCCGGCTCCAGTCCAGCGCTATCAGTCTGTGCTCTGGGGATGCTAAATATATAATTCATTGTGCTCTGGCATCTGGGTGATAAAGAGCAATAAATAATGCAGCGGCTGGGGTAGAGGGGTGCTTTGTGCAGGGAGAGCACCACTCCGGGGTGAAGCGCCTCTCTGGGATGTCTGGGGCAAGAGCGGAGTAATAGGAGTGATGAGAGCATCAGTGCTCAGGGCAGCAGGAGTTTGTTTTTCATTGGATGCTGTAGCTGAGGGTGGGCATGGGTGTGCGTGGGAGCTGATCTCTGCCCCAAGGAAAGCAAATTAGTTTATTTGTGCTTAGCTGTTGGTCACTTCAACCCTGCAAATATGTTAGCCCATCCCTTCACCCACAGACAGGACTCTGTCCCTGAGCAGGCAGCACTGAAAATTGGCTCTGCCTGAAGCTCTCTCTAGGAACTGGCTGGAGTCCAGGCTACTGGCGACACTGTGAATGAATGCTAGTGCAGCCGGGCTGGGTGCGAGCACTTGGGAGTGAGGAGGTGACAACCAGCCTGTGTGTGCAAAGGTAGCCCGGGGCGCTGGGGAGATACCTGTCCCAGAGAGACTGACCGTGTTTGATGCCCATCTTGGACGACAGGAGCTTTGGGCAAGGGGAACACGCTCTGAAGAAGCATTAGGTGGGCAGGGTTTTAATCTGGCCTCTCAACTGCTTTCCTGCTCTTTTCCTGCTTCTCCATCTGTGCAAAAGGAATTAACGCTCATCTTGGAAGTGGATTAGACTGCTCAGACTATGACCCGCTTTTCTCCCCAAAGAAACCAGAAGATTTCGCTGCTGGAAAAACAAAATCATCAGCACTCCTCTGCTGTGAAGACTAGTAGTAATGTAGCTGCTTGCGTAATACAGAAACATGATATTGTGGCACAACTATAACGCTTGAAGCGATGTCGAAATACTATGTATATAATTAAAAAGTGACAATAACGTTTGGGAGGCAGCATGTTTAATGTATTTCACTTTCATGTATTAAAAGCCATTAAAATAGGATGTGATCAGATCATTACAAAGAAGGTATTTATTTAGAAATAAGCAAACTGGTAAAAATGTATGTCTGAATTTTGTTTACTGATTAAAGTGTGAATGAGGGGCAGAACAGCTGGGTGCACATGGGAGATCTGTTTTGCCCTTGTTTTCTCCTCCCCAGGCTGCTGGACACGGCTGAGGGCATGAGACAGGCTGGCGTTAGGGAGCAGCAGGGAGCTGCGGGCCCTCTCTCTGCCCCCTGCCCAAGTCTGGGCTATTTGTGGTTCGGTGCAAACACACGACGTGGCAAAAGTCTCCTTTTCTCTGAAGACCTGTGCCAGCTCTAACTACCTCCTCTCCCCTCTGCAGGGTGGTGAAAGAAGAAATCTCGGATGACAATGCCAAGCTTCCCTGTTTCAACGGCCGGGTGGTGTCATGGGTAAGCAAGTCTCTTGCTTTGTTATCTCTCTGCCTGTTCCTACTCCCTCTGAAAACCATCGTTTGATTGCACAGTGCCAAGCAAAGCACTAGGAGCGCGCGGTAGTGCTACCAAAGCCGATGGGCTGGATGGCCACGCGGCAACGTGGTGCCGGGTCCCCCGTGCCGGGCAGGACGTGGGCTGCCTCTGCCCAGCGCCTGGTGCCTAGCGGAGGTGACGGTCCCAGCCTGCCCGCGGTGTAACCCGTGTGCCCCTACGGCAGGGTCGGCTTTCCAGGAAAGTCCCACCGCGGTGACTGGCGCAAAGGGCATAAGTGACTTTAGTGCTGGTGAAGCCGACTGGATTTGACTGCCCTGAAGACTGAAGGTACTGCCTGGGCAGCTGCAGGACAAGCTTCTCCCGCCGTGCCATGCCATGCACATGCTCTGTCCCCTGCCCGCATGCCTCCCTCTGCCCCCAAGGGGACCCTCTGTTTGGGGGGGAGAGGGAATTCACTCTCCATAGACCATCATCCCTTTTTCCGTCCTGCTGAGCTGCAGTTTTTGCTGGCTGGGGAGTGTGGATCTGCCCCTGGAACAGAACAAAGACCCTAGTGCCTTTTCTTCAGGGGCCACCAAGCTTCTGCTAATGAGGGGAAATCCTCAGACTCTTGCAAATGAGGCTCCATAAGACCTGATGCTCCTTCTCTCCCGCGTCAAACAGCAGAGCCTGGGCTGGGGGGCAGTGAAGCGACTGCGTTTGGCAGCGGAGGGTGGGGATGGCGAAGGCTGGTGA